AATTCAGCTTTTCAGATTTTAATTTCTAGTCCATTTCATCTGTTTAATTTTTTTGTAATATTATGTGATTTATTTTTTTTTATTTTTTTCAGCTTTTCAGATTTTATTTCTAGTCCACTTTATTGGTTTAAGTTTTAGTAATGTTTTTCTGAGATTTGTTTTTATTTATTTTTTCAGCTTTTCAGCTTTTATTTTTAGTCCACTTCATCAGTTTACACTATTATCTAATTAGCATAACACTAAACAGTGTTATTTTATTATTATTTATGTACTATTATAATATTAAATCATATTTTGAATTCTCTTTTATTGTTATAATTTTAGCTTTAATTTTAAAGTTAAAGTTTTAGTAATTTTCTTATGTTCTTAATATAAGTATTTTTAATATAAATATATATATTTTTTTTAATATTACTATTATCAATAATTTATTTGTATTGCCATTTTAGTCATTTTAGTGCTTAAACATATTTATTTCAGATAGTTGCCAAGGAAACATTTCTCATTTTTATTTATTTATTTATTTATTTTGATGTTTAAGTTCCCTTTCAGTCGGTCACTCTCGACGTCACGTCGGATGACCGACGAATTGGGATCTCGCTTAGAGGGACCAATATACTTCGAGTGTAAACTAAACGAGCCAATGCACATTTCGCATGCCAATGTGCACTGGCTCGTTTAGTTTACACTCGAAGTAGATTGGTCCCTCTAAGCGAGATCCCAATTCGTCGGTCATCCAACGTGACGTCTCCGTTCCCTCCTTCAGGGAACGAGGGTTACATACGTAACCGAGACGTTCTTCCAGTTTAAGTTTTTCATCTAATATATTTATATTTTATTTTTAATTTAGCTTTATTTCAATTACTGCAAATGTTTTTTAATGGCTTTATGAGTAATGCATGCTAATAATTACTGCATCTGCAGTATGTAACACTGCAATACTGTATCCCACAATGCACTGCACTCAACATGACCATCCATTCCAGTGTGAAGAGTGAAAATGTGTTTTAACGGTTCCCTTTCGACTCGTCTCAAAAATTTAAAAATGTTATGCAAAATTGGATTAAAATTTAAATTAATCAATATTTATTCCCATAAACAAAGTCATGTGACAACAATATGAATGCAACTGCAGTGCATATGTGGATTTTTTGCAGTTATTTTCTAGTTTCACTTGTATGTCGGCTGTATCCCAGCATGCTCAGCGCTTCATATAGGTGAGGGATTTATGCCTCCGTGTCTTTAGCATATGTTGAGCTTATCATAAAGACACATGCTATCAACCAGTCTGACCTGCTTCTGATCAGAACACGAACTCTTCACGTCCGTCTGTGTTTGCCGTAATCTTCTGCATTCAGCGGCAGATTAAGACATACAGCAGATGTACGTGTGTGTACAGGTTCAGCGCCAAATCCTTTGTTCATTTGCAAGCTCAGCTAGTGCATGCATTTATTCCAAGTAAAACTATTTTGCATATTTTATTATGCATATTTATAATATTTTATTCTGTCACATTTATGCATGTTTCTCCACATATGAAGTGACTGAATCAGGGAAGACATTGCAGTCATAGAGAAGTCTGACCGCTGAATGGAGGGCGGGGCAGATGAGACATTAAGGGGAGGGGCTTAGGCTTAATGATTGGCAGCTCATGATGTGGCCGGAGCCAAGTCTGTTCTTAGCACTGATGACCATCTGTACACAGATGATGACCTCCTTTCATCTCACTGCAAACAAGCGGGAGGAAATCTGCTTAGTTTTCGCTCTTCAGTGTTATTTTAGTATCATTGAGACACTTTTAAAGTTTTTATTAATATTTTTGAATTATTTTATTTTTATATTTTCTGTTTTCATTTTAATTTTAATTTTAAAGTTTCAGTCATTTTGCTGTGTATTTTATTATTTTTTTACTAGTTGTCTATATAGTTATTCATTTTTATTTCAGTTTTAAAATGAAATAAAATAAATTTAAGATTTAATTTTTTTATTGCATTATTTATTTTATTTATTGTTTAATTTATTTGAAGTAATAAATTTTTTTACGGTTTTAGTTTTAGTTAGACTTTTAGTTTAGACCTTTTTACCTTAATTCTGAATTTATATCTTGCAATTCTGATGTTTTTTTCTCAGAATTGCCAGATATAAACTCAGAATTGCAAAGCCTAAACTCAAAATTCTGAGGAAAAAAGTCAGGATTCAGAGATATAAAGTCGGAATTGCAAGAAAAAAAGTCAGAATTCTGAATTTACATCTCAGAATTGCGAGAAAAAAGTTTGAATTGTGAAATGAAAAGCCGAACATCTTCCAATTATTTGCATTAAAATATTCACTTTCAAAATCGCACTACTTCAGCTGACAGTGATGATGTCATTGTCACATTTGCATACTGATTTGTGATTGGTCACTGTCGTCTTTGCTCAGTTGAAACAATTTATATTCAGAAAATATTAGCGAGCTGCTGTGAGCACTAGTGATGCAAACAGCACTAATAAGACCTCATCCATAATGTGCACTATTGAGACATTATGATGAATTAGGTGGCTGATAACATGCATTAGAGCAACACTCATTTTTCTTTTTCTGACATATTTATACCTATATATCACTCCCATCGTTTCCTATTAGACAGCTCATATCACACACACACACACACACACACACACACACTGGCTGCGGGGCTCGTCTCGATTCATCTCAGCTGAAGTGCTGCCTGTTCATTTGTGTGTAAGAAGCCCAGAATCCATGAGAGCATCATTTACTGCTGCTCAAAACACTGTGTGTGTGTGTGTGTGTGTGTGTGTGAGTGTGTGATCATTGAGCCTCTTGAAGGCCACTGAAACCCTCCCATGATCTCTCTCTCTCACACACACACACACACACACACACACTGTGAAGCAGGTTTCTTTTAATGTGACAGATCACAGAGGCTTCTAACAAAGATCAAAGTCCTTTAAAAATGCTTTATACTCTCAGTGAGTGTGTGAGTGCTGAATATTCCAGCAGCTCTTAGCGTCTGATGGACCTGCTGACGCTCAGAGTGACCAAAGCTTTCCTCATAATGCTGCATAATTAAACGCTTTCAATAATTGATCATTTGGAGAATATAATGCATCCTTATTTCATCTTATTTATATCTGTTTACACTGGCTTTTTAACATCAAACATCAAAATAACTCTTTTTAAATTCATGTTCCTGGTCTTATTGTGACTGATTTGTCAGTGCATGTTATTCTAAAAAAATAAAGAAAGACATTTGCCTTAAAATATAACACAACTTGCTTTGTCCAGGGTTATTAATGTTATCTAAAATTCATAATCAAAAATCATAATAATAAAAAAAACATTACTTGAAATAAAATAAATATTAACTGAAATAAAATAAAAATATTTAAAAAATCTCAAACTTTCATTATTTTAGATAGTTGCCAAGGCAACATTTCTCATTTTTATTTAGTTTAAATTGAAGTACTAAAATAACTAAAACCAGATGAACTAAAACAAAAAAAAACAAATAAATAAACAAATAAAACTTACAAATAAAAATGGCAAACACGCTACAAAAAAATAATAAAATTAACTAAAACTTTATTAAGTAAAATTAAAATGAACATTGAAAATATAAAAATAAAATCTAATTCAAAATATTAACAAAAGCTATAATAGTATATAAATTATACTAAAATAACCTCTCATAAATGTGACTTTTCTATGGCACAATTAACACTTGTCATTAATTGTGTCTGTTTAATTTAAACAGCTCTTCATGTTTTTCACATTTAATTCAGCTGGATCAAATATAATTCATAAAAATGAAATTTGACAATATTAACACTGATATTTTCTTGTTCTTTTCCCCATGAAGCTGCTTGAAACAGTCTGTGCTGTATAAATAGATGTGTGCTCTTTCTTGCATTTATTAAACAGTTATTTAATGTTAAATATGCATTTAATAGTCGTATTTACAGTCCACAGTGCACACAGCGTCATGCATGATCATAAAGCATAAATGCAGAGGTTTATGTTGTGAAGGTGTTAATAGGTCAGTTTTTACTTTAATTTTAGATCGTTTTTGTAATTTTCAAACGTGTTTTTGTCATTTTATTAGTTTTTTTATGATATTAGTGTTTTATGTTTAATTTAGTTTTAGTGTTATTTTAGTTTTATTTATATGTTATTATAGTTTTTTATATTTATTTTTAACTAGCTTTTATTTTATTTGTTCAGTTTTTATTTCTGTTTAATCTTAGTAATTTTGTTATGAACTTGTCGGTTTACAATTAAATATGATTTAGGTTTCATTTATTTATTTATTTTTTATTCAGTTTTAGTGTTAATTCAGTATTATTTATTTACTATTATAGTCTTTATTTATATTTTGAATTAGTTTTTTGTTTTATATTTTCATTTTAATTTCTAGTATATTTTATTTCTTTATAATTTGTAATGTATAAAGAAAGAACATTTATGTATTAATTTTTTTTTAATATTACTATTTTGGTTTCATTTATTTTAAATGCAGCTTTAGTTTTAGTTTTAGTTCAGCTGATCTGAAATAACATCCTGAGTACATTTAATAACTTGCTTCACAACCTTTCAAAAGTGTGTTCGGAAACACTTTATTTTAAGGTGTCCTTGTTACACGTTACATATACTTACTATTATAATAACAATTAATTATGCATAATTACATGCAAGTAACCCTAAGCCAAACCTTAATCCTAACCCTGACCATATAGTAAGCACATGTAGTTAATTAATATTACTCAGTACTTAAATGTATAATTACACTGTAACAAGGACACCTTAAAATAAAGTGTAACCGTGTGTTCTATATAGTATGCATGAATGCAATCTGAGTGACATGATATCTGCCATGTTGGTCACGTGACCTTCAGACATAGACATTGTCTCGCAGGATCACACTTTTAGCATAGAATCTGGTACACAAGCTATTTTGAAGGTTGTTTTGCCCGTTATGACAGCTGATGTGAAGCACACAGGTATATGATGCTGATCTTTATTCTCTCTCTGCACCTGCAGTTCCTCCATCCATCCCGACCTGTCGTATTCAGGGTTCACTGGATGTTGGTAACGACGTGATGCTGTTGTGTGGTTCGGACGAGGGCATCCCGACACCCACCTACGCCTGGGAGAAGCAGGAGTCGGTGCTCAAACTGCCCCACAATGCCATGCAAGGTACTAAACCCCTGCCCGTGGGAATCCCGTTTTGCTTCACGTTCTCGGGTAAATGCGCAGCTCTCGACTCGTGCTGTGGCGTGACCTTTGCCCTTCCCGGTCCACCATGTGTGTGTCTGTGAGGTGACCTGACCCGCTCTCTCCGAACGCCACGCTTTAGAACACGGCTACAGAATCACCACTCTATTTACATTATACTTATGTTTGTGAAAGAAGTGTCTAATGCTCACCAAGGCTGCATTTATTTGATTAAAAATACAGTAAAAACAGTAAAATTGTGAAATATTATTACAATTTAAAATAACTGTTTTCTATGTGAATATATATTAAACTGTAATTTATTTCTGTGATCAAAGCTGTATTTTCAGCATCATTACTCCAGTCTTCAGTG